GAAGGAAGGAAGGAAGGAAGGAAGGAAGGAAGGAAGGAAGGAAGGAAGGAAGGAAAATATTGCTTAATATTTCTGTTGTAGCAGCTGGAAATAGCGAAGGCTCAAACCTTTAAGATCATCTGGACCTCACAGCATCTTTCCCATGCCAGGAAGAAGAGCAGCTTTAAAAAAAGTCAATTAAAATTTCATTGATTTGTACTGCTCGCTAACATCGTGTTTCCTTCTGGTCTCCACAGAAGCCCACCCGTCTGTTTATTCAAAATACGCCATGCCTTCCAGCCACTCTCAGTTTATGTGGTTTTTCTCTGTCTATTCTTTCCTCTTCCTTTATTTAAGGTGAGTGGCGTTTTCGTCAGTCGGGGGTGGGGGGAGATGTTTTGGATTTTCTGTCTTGTCCAGGCACAGGAACATGCATGCAAAAAAGGCCCACAGACTTATAAAATAGTGGAAAGATTTTTTTTTCCTTTTAATTCAGTGGGATTCTTGGTAGCAGGATCTGATCCTGTGTGGAACAGGGATGATCTGGCATTTCCCCCTCTTCTCAGATATATGGAAAGCAAAATCTTTAGACATTTTTGGAGCCAAGTACTTAAGGCATGAGAAGTCTGTTTTTCTTGAGCTTGGTTGATTCCTGAGATCTGTGGATCAGAAACATGCCAGTATTTATAGGTTAAATTCTGACTGAAGAATTTTCTGCTTAAAATGCTAGAACCATTGGGCAGGCAAGATTGATGGGGTCAACAGAAACTGCACCCCCCAACTCACATTTTTGTATGCTTGTCTTCTCCGTCAATGAATTGCAGCCTGATGTAGTCAGAGAGCCAGATGAGAACCAAGTCTCCTAGCATAGCCTACCTCGCAGGACTGTTGAGAAGTTAAACATGCAGGAAGGATAATCTGTGCTGAACTCCTTGAAGGAAAGCCAAGATAAAAATTACTGTATGTGAGGTCATCTTCCTTTGCCTTGGGGAGGCTCCAAACAGCCAGTCATTCATGGAAAGATCATCTCAGGTCATTGTGCATTTCCCTAGTCCTGGAAGGAATGAACAGATTTAATGAATGAATCTGTAATGAATTTACAGATTTAATTTCAAGTTAACATGGCATTTTGTTTCTGTTTGACTCTACCATCCACTGTATAATCAACAAAGCCTGGTCTGCATTTTTGGGGGGACTCGGGGTGCCCCTGGAGCAGTGTTTTTCAAACTTGGCAACTTTAAGATGTGTGGACTTCAACTCCCAGAATTCCCCAGCCAGAAGTAGGGAATTCT